TAATTGAATAAGTGTTATCCCAATTAGCTTTAGATGTTTACTTGATTATTAAATTATCCTACGTGCTTTTTTCCTGTTACAAAATTCTTTACAATTTATTACATTGCTGCTTTATGATTTTGGTTTAATTCCTAGTAGACCTGCTTCTGTTGCTTACTTTTCCAGATGTTTGTGTGTGTACTCATGCTTTTATTCTTCCCCATGAGGATTAATTTGGCAATGTGTAAGTAGAAGCACTTGCTTTGGGGCTTAAGTGGCTATTTTAAGATGTATACCCATTGGTGCCTTCCTGGTTAAGAGCTTCCCTGGTGGTGTAGGGGGTTAAGCCTCAGTGCCCTCACCTCGAGGGCCTGGGTTCAATCCCCGGCCAGGGAGCTAACACACAGATAGGCGTGGCGGGCCTCTCTTGTCTGCCTGCTGCTCCCCTCAGTGCTGTAAGTCTCCTCTCTCGCCCCCACTATCCCCTCCCCCCCCCATCTCCTCTCCCCTCCCCCCCATCTCCTCTCCCCTCCCCCCACGAGCCTGGTGTGGCTGAACTTGAACCACTGGACTGTCCCTAGCTATGTAATCCTGTCTTACCCTTGTTGATTTACTTGGGGGGGGGGGGGGTGCCAGGCCCTCATGCCCCCTTCATCATTTCCTTTTTAGTTTCTCCCCCAATCAGCACTAGGAAGCTTCACTTGACCTTCTGGAGCTCACGTTTTAAGGTGTTGTAAACGGACTCCTCGCCCTTTTACAGGCACAGCTGTTTATTGCGGACTCCCAAGGAAGCCAAATGCATGTTTCACAGGCAAACAGCCCATGTTGCAACAAAGGAGAGCGAGAGAAGATGTGCTAGGAGCCAGGAGACCTGTCCCTGTCCCCCAACACCCCTGCCTGCTGTCTAGCTGGAAAACCCCAATGAAGCCTAAAAAGCCACTGAGGGCTCCAGGACTCCTCCTTTACCCCATCTGCCCAATCATAGAGATCCTGCTCTGGCCCATCCTGCCGCTACAGTTTGCTTTATACCATAGGAAAAATTCAGCAATAAGATGCAGGAAGAAAGGGGGGGGGGAAAACAGGGAAAAAAAAAATGGAGCCAGGAAGGACAGTTCAAAGCTCTTTTCCCTTGTATCTGATCAATTTTAACCTTGAGCCTCCTAGTAGTCTAAAGAAACAGAAAAATACTTTGGGCAAGTTACTTTATCTCCAAATCTCAGTTTCATCACTGATAAAATGGTAATGACAAAACCTACAACACAGGAGCACAGGATCTTCTGAGGACAGACTGAGATAAGGGATGTGAAGTTTAAGTAGCAACTGAGCATTATGCTAGCTTTTACTGTGACTATTATTTCTTCCGGGGGGCTTTGTTTTCAAGTTAGAAATCAACTAACTGCTTTAGTAGCTGGTGCTTCAATTGCATCTGTTTCAGAGGCTTATCCCTTTTCCAGCGTGAAATGAGATCTCTGGCTAGCTGCATTGCTGTAAGTCGTGGGCGCTGGGCAGGGGAGGGATGGGGTAGCCTGCTTGGTCAGATGCAGGTGAAAATAATGATGCTTCCTAGCATCAGATTCTGATTTAGACCCATTCCCAAGACAGACTAGTTTCAGCAGAATAGGATGCTGGAGCTTAAAGAGGACCTCATGTTCATCTTTTCCAAACTGGGACATGAGGTCTGAATTGCCAGCATTACCCAGCCAGAGTTTGATGCTCAAATTCCAGTTCTTTCCCTTAAAGGACCCTTTCATGGGAGGAGAACTAATGTGGAATTGAAATAAAGAAAAAAATAACGCTGATTTATTTATAATTTAGGGAAGTGAAAGTCAGTTGGAGTTTGGACCGTTCATTGTTTCATTGTTATGACTTTCAACCACTGGAAGAATTGTCCATCCTTCTTCTCCCCTCTGCTGGCCCTGAAAAGTCAGGCTGAAGAGCCTCATCGGAAGAACTCAGGTTTCTGGAAACAGTGGCCTTGTGCCATTTCTATCTGGCATGGAGGAATGTAGCTATTTATGGGGCGGTGCTTTACGAAATGCTTTACGTCTTAGCAGAGAGCACCGTGCAAGCACATCTTCAGGCTATTTAAAGCTGAATAAAGAGCCTTCTGAGTGTGCACGTGTGCCCTGGAATCTCAGTGGAAACCCAATTTATTTCCAGTGGCTCTATTTGACATCCTGAATCACATGTTTATCCTGCAGGAGACTGAAGCCAGAGAGCCCGGGCCTCTCTCCTGCCTGTTCTTTGCAGATGAAAGCTCACACGCAGGGACTCAGAAACGGTCGGTGGCTGTGATGAAATGATGCACAGACAGGTGCCTCTGAGCCAGTGGCTAAGTCCCTTTCATTCAGCCAGATGTCTGGCTGGCGCTGCACGTGGACAGCCATCTGACCATCCTGTTTCAGTCCAGGGATGAAAGTGGAGCCGTCAGCCTCACCTTTTTCACTAGGTGCCTCGGAGACATGGGCTGATGTGCTCAAGGTTAACATAAACCAAGCCACGTTTCCGTGGTGGCCAAGCCCAGAATTCTTTCCTCGATACCATCTACTCTGGGGGAAAAGAAAAATAAAGGAAACAAACCAACCTCCATGGTAAATCCGTGATTTCCAAACAAGCTTCATTTCCTCCAGTCTGTGAGGCAGCCATGCAGCCATCCACAGAGTATGTGGCGTCACCTTCTCCATCAGTAACCTGTGTGCCGGGGACATGAAGGTCGAGAATCTCTGGTGTGGTGGAATGCAACCTGATGATTTTCAATAAATTATTTTTGAGATCACACCAGATCACTTCAGATCATTTAACTAATTGTATTTCCTCTCTTCCCTTTCCTATTGCCCTTTCGGAATCGATCCTTTGGGATACCAGTCTCCATGCGCATCTGTGTGCACTTGAGATCCGAAACCCAAGCTGGTGCCGCCACCAGCTGCAGCAGCGTGCTACTCATCATCATTTTTGGAAACCAAAAATGACTGGTCACATAACTGTGATTAGATAAAGCTTGTAATTTGTGTTTGCTGTAGTCAGCGACGTGGTATTTTGGGACAAACAGCCGCTCTCTGCTACATACAGCTTGGAATTTGCG